GTTCAAAGATTAAATTTGTTGTTATAAAAATGATGTTTCTCTAGTGGATTTACAAAAAAGAAAGATATTGGAGAATAATATGATAATTTCTTGTTGTAATATTTTCAATTTTTTAAATTAATTAATTTTTATTTAAATTAGAAAGATTAATAACTGTTAACGTTCGACAATCTGAGAATTACGAAGAAAGTTCTCAAAAGTGCCCATTACAAATTATTATTATTATTTATTATTATTATTATTATTATTATTATTATTATTATTATTATTATTACATATTATTAAACGCACCCTAGATCTGGGGACACCGCTAACTAACAAAAGTCGGTTCACATTCGGTAGCATTCAAGGAGATTGCGTGTCCTTACTCAGCATCTGTGCAAACGGAGTGGCCTAAAACTTTGGGACAAATACCACGTTTGAATTCGTATTGCTGTCATCCAACCATTCTGGGGGCAGAGTGAACATTGGAAATACTTTTGAAATTCTAATCAGACAGACGGTCCTTTTTTTAATAATTTTTCAGCACATTGGTCAAAGACTGACCTCACACACAGTTCGTTAGTGCGTGGATATGCAGAGTCCGCCCTCATACTTACAATTGATTATTTTAGAGCTGTACTGGTGGAGTGCCAACTTTTGTTCTTGTTGATTTTATGGAAAATTGAACAAGAAATACACCTATATTTTTTTTCAGATTTTTATCTCATGGAGTTTATATAAAAAAATAATTAAAAATCATGTTTAAAGTGAAATAATTTTTTAAACAATATATTTACAGAAGAATAGAATACACATTTCAAAGTATTAAATGAAACGAGTCAGGAATTTTTATATTGAGTTCATTTGCAGCAACAATTGATCATATTTTGCGAAGTACGCGTAAATTTCAAAACTATACATAATACACAAACTACACAAATAATAAATTTTCAGGCCAAAAACACCTACAACAACAACAACAACAACAACAACAACAAAGTCTCTTTTTTTGTAAAAATGTATGAAAAAATCTTATATTTTTAAAAAACGCCAGAGACAACTCTTGTGCGATTTGATGTGGAATGGCTCATATGCATGTAACTCCGTTCTATTCGATTTTTCATAAGAAACTAAATTTGTGTTTCTAAGGTAAATACAAGTTTAATTATTGATATACGTTGATACATTTTAAAAGGTGTTTAAACTTACATGTACATTACATCTCATTTTAACCATCTCGAAATACATGAACTTCGAATATTCTTCGTATAAGGTAGTCCCTGTTACCTTAGATAATGGCAAGTGCACCTTAATATATTTTAATGGAATGGGTGGGGTGACATCACTGAGTGAATAAAATTATGAAACTGGCGACGAAGTATCAAATCTATGCGACAGATTTCTTGTCACATTCATTCGCATAATGATCCCATTGTTTTATAATCTCCGTCCTTGGCGCCGCCTCCCAACTGTGTGTAGAGATGTCCGTAACAATAGAGAAAGAGCAGAAGGTCGCCATGTCCTCCTCCTCAGTCATCGTGGCATTGTGTACCTGTCTCTCCTCGGACTCCGCGCAGGATTGTCGAGGCGAGCGTTCGCTACCTCTGTGACTCAGCCGCACTAGAGCCACAGTGGCCGTAAACAACCTTTTCCAGATTCACTTCGTTTGTCTCATCTTCAAAGCAGTTTGGAGTTATGAGTCAAAGCCTATAGTTTCACATTTATATTTCGCTGGTTTCACATGAACGAGGACGAATCATCAAAGAGGTTTTTACAGACGATTTCAGGAATTTGTAATGCAAATATGCCGAGCAAACCAATTTACCTGAACTTCAAAAGATTCGGGTTTCTCTAAATTGTATGATTCAGCGCAACCCGAAATATCATGTTATGTTTATTCTGATGCGGAAATGCTGTATATCCAATGCTACCATTCTTTTTGAGATGAGAACTTTAGACTGGTATCGTGTTCTGGAGAGAAGAACGTATTTTAGATTGCGAATAGTTGCCCGCATATTTGATGCTTCAGAGCAATTTCACATTTGTGCTTGTTGATGTAGTACTGAATACATTTCAGGTTTTGCTGGGAATAATTTATTACAGCTAGTTATTTTCCTCACATTAACACGTTTATCCTACTAGTTCTTCTGGATCAGGCAATGAATACACAATTTCATTTTAAGATGAAGAGTGATAATACATTATTGCCTCGAGTTTGGAAACCAGAATTGAGCGCTTATTAAAGAAAAGTGACTAAAGTGAATTTGGGTTCATGGAATAAATTATTTATAAAACAGAGATAAATAAAGAATGGTAGGAATGAAAACTCGAATATTCAGCGTAAAGTTGTCTTGATCACAAAAAAAGTTCTAATGCATAATACAAAATGAGCTATGTAAAATGACACCACAAATTAATTACGGGCTATTTTGGTATGATCAGCGAACCATATTTGCTGATGTACAACACGCAACCAATTTCGTTATAATTTTACGAGAAAAAAGTAAATGACGCCTCTGAAATTTTACTAAATTAATAAACCGCTATAATGTTCCTAAAATTTGAAATTTATTAACTAAAAAATTAGACATTCAAATACTAACAAAAATGTTAAATTATTTTTATTTTTACATTTCTTTCACGTTCAGAAAAGCCTCTTCTTCAGAACTAGCAATATTATCAATTGACTTCTCAGAAATTGATCACCGTCATGTAAGACGCATCCTGTTCATAGAGAGTGGGAAAGGAAGGCGTCTTGCATTTCGTCTAATATGAAAATCTAATTTCCAAGTCCACACGACCACTATATCTCTATCTCTTAGAAAGGTCTTAAATAGCCAAATCCAGTTTTGGAATCTCATATTATGAGAAGACAACACTTTCACAAGCTCCAACGAACCGACTTTGTTAGGAATATAATGAACGGTCTTGGGCCTCTAACGCCCGCCCCCAACCACCTGTCGTCGTCCCTAATCGCAAAGTATTAATCGAAGATAATGCAGCACTCGGCGGTGCATAATTAACAAGGCCAGCAAGCCAGCGATATTGTGTTCGGCTGGCGCGGTTATGTATGTTTCTGCGCCGTGGCCATTCTTTCGGCACACAATTCCACGTGATGCAGGGCCCTGCAATAGGCTTATGTTTATGGAAACAGCGCGGTATTATTGTTGCCATTGTCGCACGCACAAAGGCGTGAAACGCAGCGCGGCGCCGGTGAACGTTCGCGGATAGCCGCCTCTGCCCCCGCTCCCGCCCCCGGGGCGTCAATGCTTAGTGGGTGGGGGGGGAGCTGCGGCGGTCGGCTGCTGCTGCGTGGGGGCATCCGGCGGTTCTTTGCCGCCGCTTT